GGGAAATAAAGTCAGGGCCCTCACCGTTGCAATAGAACAAAGAAGTTAATACAGGAGGCTAAAAGCAAAGGAAGACACATCTCACGCATTGACCCAGTAATCCTGAGCCTGGTCGGATAAGGCTGCCAAGCATTCCGAACCAGACAAGTAGATTGTGGTAGTGCAGGGGGGAAGCCCATGAAAGTCTGTGTGTATCATCTCCGCTAGCTGGGAAAAGGAAAACCTTGAGACTGTGCATTCATTCTATGACCCGGAAGGGGAAAGGGGAGGAAGACTACAGTGTCCAAAGAAAAACCCATAGAACAACTTCAGTTAATTGCCTGCCTCCCATCACGTATACAAAATAAACAAATAGAGTCTGGAGCAAGATAAGGAGTCAGGCTATCAGACCCCCACACATACCTATGTTTGCATAGTCACGTCTCCCTTGGGGAGGCTGGCACCACCTCTGCCCATTAATTAATATGTAACTTCTTCACCCCCATCCCACCAACTATGTAAGTCCTCAGAACAAAGTGCTTGCTCCCTTGGCTCATTTCTTGCCACACAAAGGGCCCCTAGCCAGGGAGCTTCTGCTATCTGAGTCCTGGCACCCTGCTTTTGGCACCTTTGCTCTAGCCATCCTTGCTTTTGCTCTCTCATTAGAGCTTAGCATTAATAAACTTTGCTTGCATGCTAGTAGGCTTGCTGATCTGTAATTCTTTACTGCATCGGCAAGAAGAACTGAGTTTCTGGGAATTTGTCCTGTAACACCAAGCTCCTTAAGGCTTCCTAATGCAAATAACCAACTAGGGTCAAAATAGGGAAAAACATTTCTCAAACTAAGGGATAGACTGTGAATGCAGTTGACCAAATGTTCAGATCTACATATCAAAATATAGAACTAATAAATTGGTTCTTTTTTAGATGACATATAAGACTATTATCAATAGAACCAATTGATTCTACAAGTGTTTTACAATTTTTCATTCACAAAGAAGCATGTGTCTTTCAGTATGACTTCTGGGTTATTGCTTGTTATAATGTTATTTCCTCTATTTTTTTAAAACTTGTCTTCCTTTATTCTTCCTTCTTGACTTCTTCTATATTTTTGGAGCATGATTATTTCCTTAATATTTTGTTTCTCTCATTAACCACTGGACACAAGAAAAAACTTTTTGCAAAATAGCTTTTTCCACAAAAAGGCATGGTCTATATGACAAAAAAAAAAAAAAAGAAATATTTATGTGATATGCTATACTGTACTAATAAGGAGATATAATTTCTAAGGTACTTTAGAGATATAAGTACTCAATCTCTAGAAGCAATATTATCAGCTTGTGAATTTGAGAGGACTAACTGGAAGCACAGGTGCAATTGGCACTTGAACCCTGTTGTTACAGAAAAGACCAATTCTGCTTTGGCTTTGCATTCACTATTGACATGATGAATCAAAGACTACATCTTATGATAAAAATGTTTGCACATATTTGCAAAGTTATGCTTCTGAATCAGAGCATCCCAAATCCTTAATTTTGGAACATTTTAAAAATTTGAGTTGCACCTCACATTTATATCTCAGTTGACTTATGTAGAATCCAATTTCAGAGGCCTTAGCTGAGGGTACTGACACTTAGCAAATGCACTATGGAGGTTCCGGAAAGCCCATCAGCAGGAATGTTTACCGTAAGTCACCTTAAGTATTTAGCACATTTGGACAGCTGCTAAAGGATACAGTTACAACACGAAGACTGCTCACATTTACAACTGTAAAGTGAGCAGAGCAGTCACACTTGCCTCCTGTGCTCAAAAAGAATGATGTAACATATAGAAAGGGAAGGACGCCTGGGATAATAATGTCTATCATGGAAAGTCCCAGATTCTCACTCTGATATGGAAACCAAATCCCTTGGTCATAAGGTTGAACATTGCAGTGGGGTTTTGCAGGGTGGTATCTGTTACTAAAGGCACTGTGGTTGCCCAGCCTGAAGAGAAATAGAGAAAATGCTTCCCTTTTCCAACTTCCTATACTCATTGAGAAGAGGCCATTCAAAGAAGCACAACGTAAAATCCCCAAATATACAACCAATCCAAACACTCAACATGCCCACAGTTTAGGAACAAGCCTTCACTTATGCACAGAATTTACTAGTTTACTAGTTTACTAATAAGCCCGGACCTCCCTGGTCTACATCTTGATATCAGTAATAAAGAACTGAAGGCGAGCAGCACATGCCAGCCAAAAAACGTCTCCGAGTGGCTGCAGGCACAGGAGAATCTCAGAATCTCTGAAAACAGAGAAGTTACCTTTCTCTAAGGGAAATTTACATTTATAAGGGAAATGCTCATTTGTAAAGGTGCCTCCCTCTCTGTGCCCCCAAGAGAAAGATAACTAAATCTTTAGAAGGCTCCTACTTAAATCTGAATGACAACTTTACCCTTGTTTACTCTTCTTTCCCTGATAGCCTCCCATAACTGTTCTTCCAACAGTGTTTTTCCGTTTGTTTGTTTGTTGTTTGTTTGTTGTTTTTAGCTTAAGATGGTATGTAAGGTGGTAGCTTGAGCCATTTCAGGGAGTTCCTGGGTTTTTCTGGTTCTCTCCTATGTATACTGGAGGTATACATGCTATGAAACTTCTGTTTTTCTATTGTTAATCTGTGTTTTATAACAGGGCAATCTCAGCCAAGAACCTAGAGGGGTGGAAGGAAAGTTCTTTTTTCTTCCCCTATAAAACTAAATGTCCTGACCTTAACTAAGGGACAAAATCTAAAATCATGAAAACAATTGGGAAATACACAGCTACTGAAGGAAATCATAACTTGGTTTTAACTTTTAGGACAAGCCTCTAATTAAATGACTGTTTTCAACTTTCTTTCATAAGGTTTTAAACCCATTCCAGTTAATTAGACCTTCTCAGTTTCAATGAGTTGACAGGCAAGAAACATTCTTGAAAACAAATAGCAATCATTCTTAACTCTACTTTCTTTCTCTGTGTAGTTCTATGGTCAAGTGAAGCTGTTCATTACGGAAACTCACTAAATGAAATATTGGCCAAAATTACATTCTTATCTTCTTTTTTCTCCTCTTGTTCTTTTTTCTCACCACCACATGTCCACCGATGCACTTCATTAGGCCAGCTTAACTATCACTGCATCTTTGAGCCTTCCACAAGAGGCCACATCCTGTGTCTGGAGTGGAAACCCTTCCATCTCATTGCTAGGCCTCAAGTCCTGTCCCTGAGAACAAACAAACGGCTCTCTACCCTTCCTTGACTTATCCTTGACAATGACTTCTCATATCACTGTCCCTTTAGGGTATGTGTCTCTTTAAAAATCTCCACCTCAAAATAATCTAGGAAAACATAGTGTGTACAGAACCTTTTTATATGCATGTTATTCAGTATATGTACTATTTTTCTTATTCAGTTGCCCATTCTGCATGTGTCCATCTTAAAATACAAGTTCCCAGGCAAGACCATGTTTTGAGAATTTGCTGAGGACAGAGCTTATCATGGTGCCATGGGTAAAAAACATTTTTTAAAAAACTAATAATGATGGTAGCAATGCTTGGGTAAAAGGTACGTAGAAAGTTTTTTGAAATAATAAAAGCAAACCTAAGAAACCTTACATACTCCTTAGATCATGCCTAGAATAAAATCCTTTCTTTCCAGATCTTAATAAAACTTCAGAGAACAGAAATGAGGCTACATAAAGATATCCTCTAGTTTCCTGTGTATAAAAGCATCTTGCCAAAAGAATGCCGGTTTTTGAACTCATGTGAAAGAGGCCATGAACTTACAAAAATGCATCATCAACTACAGCTCTGTGTAAGAGAGAGGAAAGCCAGAAAAGCGAGGTTGTTTATTCTCATAATTTTCTCCTTTTACTCAATGCTATACTCAGTCAAAGTATATTTTTCAGCTGCAATTAAAAAGACATCAGCAAGCCAGAAATATAATCTCTAACTATAGAAGAAAAAAGCTGCTAAAGTTTTCACTGTGGCACGTTTGCATGACCTCCTTAAAGTACAAGACAGTGTTTCCACTCAGTTCCTGCTTATTCTTAGTGGGTATTTAGTGTTTGATGAAAAAGGCACCATTTACTTGTTATTTCTTGTGAGACTGGGGACGAGTGCAGTTGAGAACCCTGCTTCACCTCCCTCTTTCAAAATTCTGAAGCATGGCTTTATTTCTTCTAAAAATTCAGGTTGCACAGATATCTCTTACTTCCTAGATGTCAGATGGCAAGACCAGTTGCCCATCCTTCCCTTTTCCTTTTAAAAAGCTGCTCTTCAGTTTCCAATGTCCTTGCAGTTTTCCAACTGTGAGATTAGGAGAACAGAAGGCTTAGTGTTTACCCCTGTACCTAAACCTTCAGAAGTAATGGGGAGCTAAGCTAATTACCCCTGATTAGCATAAGAATAAAAATCATTAGAGTGCTCACTCAGTTAAATAAAAGACCACCCTCAGGCTTATATGATTTGTAATTCCTGGAAGCTTTAATTTTCGCAGGGTACAAAGTAAGAGGAGACCTGTTTTTCCTAAGGGTGAGACAGTTTTACGTCCCCCTTCCACCGACGTCACTTAATCGAACACCTCCCTCTTTCGTTAGGTACACCCAGCAGAAAACTCCTATTTACAGCCAGGGGCACCCCCAGACCTCTTCTCCAAAGTCCCTCACCTCCTGCGCATCTTAGAAATTGAGAAAAGCTCCCTCTTCCTTTTCAAGCTTCGTAGCAGGCAGGGGAAGGAGCTGCCGTCAGCCTTTTATCTCTGTTCACAAATGCAGTTGTGAAAAGCCTGCTGAGGCACATCCTGTGAGTGGAAACTCAACAGAAGTCTGAAAAGAAGGGCAGGTCCCGTCCAGAGGTGTTTGACAAAGAAGATAATAAACGTTTGCTTGGACACACACCGTGGTGGTCCTTCATCTGGTCCCTTTCTGCCAATTGAGCCTCTGAGGATACGCAGGCGCAATCCATACACACATTTTTTGTAAAATACAGTCAAAATCAGAAGCAGTTACCTTCATTGTTCCCGCGGTGGTGCTGACCGCCGGAGCTGGAGCGGAGCGGACGGCAAACCCGAGGTGTCCCAGGCCCGCTGCCCCTTCTGCGTTGTTGGCTGCGGCCAGGTCGGAGACGCGGCTGCTCCACGTGGCGGCGGGACTGCACGCCGGGCCTCTCGCATGGAGATGCTGGCTCTCGGGCAGATTGCATCAGCAGGAAGGGCTGTGAGGGTGTTTCCCCCAGACCGCTGGCTCCCCGCCCCCCGCTCCAACCCCAGGAGGGTAGAATCTCTCCCAGGCTGAACATCCAGAGCCCGGCCCATCCCTGAGCCTCACCCCCTACCCACCGCTCGCTTCTGGGACTCGGCCATTTCTAGAGTAGAACACTTCGTAGTTGCCAGTCCAGTTTAGTTCGCTAACACCAAGCACTGCAATGTTCAGATCTTCCATTTCTTGCTTTACAATTTCCAGTTCACCTTGATTCACGCTGCTTATGTTCCATGCTCCGCTGTATGGGCTGTGCAGCATCTTTATCTTCCTTTCACATTTGGGTACCTCAGCCACTAGACATCTTTCGGCTTTGCTCTAGTTGAATCATTAACAACAATGTCTGGGATACTTGTTCTCTCTTCTTCCCCAGGAACTGAGTGCTTTTCATTCTGGGAGTCTCATCTTTCAGCACTTGAAATGCGGCTAGTGAGACCAAGGAACTGAATGTTTTTATTTTATTTTATTTCATTACTTCATTTTATTTATTTCACTTAAATGTAAACTTAAGAAGCCCCAGGTGGGCAGCCTAGACAGTTCTATGAGTTCGGACTCTCACAAAACCGCTGGAGTGGTTCCAGAAAATGGGTGCTATACAGGCTGGTGGGTGGAGGTCTCGATGGCCACAGCTTTGAGGGTGAATGTAGAGCAGGCAGGGTGTCCGTTTAGACCAGCTTGCCAGGACAATTTCCTCAAGTTTAGAAAACAGAAAGATGGAATGATATACTTGTGATTATATTTAAACTCATATTTAATTACACTATTACCACTTGGGGAAACATTTTTTAAAATAGGCAACGTTTCAGGCATTATGGATCCCCAGAAGAGTTAGAAACCAGTCCTACACCTGGAAAAGACAGATTCTTAGAGGTCTTGGACTGTGGATTCTGAGAGAGATTAGATTGCTACAGTGTTTATTCTGGAACACAACAGGCCGCATGTAAAATGCTGTGAAGGAAGTGTCTAGGTCTGAATGTTAATCTCTTAGATTATTCAAGGATAGCTGAATTTTAACTTCCAAGTTTTCTAAATGGATTTTAACTAACCATTGACATTCAAAATCCACTGTGGTAAACTCTCATATATTTCAAGTACACATGTGCACGCACGCACACACACAAGGCTTTCCTTTGAAAATGTTGGAAGTGGAAGAAAAGTAAAATTTCATTATTCAGAACTTTCATTGTTAATAATCTAGATATTACTTTTCAGGCTTTTTTTTCCTTTTCTCTATATTTGAGATCATATATAATATCTATAAAATTTGCTTTTATCCCTGAAAACCTTCATTTTTTTAATTTAAAGACTATTTTTGTCCTATTCTTAGTTTATCGGTTTTGGATGTCCTCCTTTTTTTTTCAGTTGTATTTGAGAGTGGGTGGAAGATTAAGTCTTCAAAATTCTGTGAAGCAGAAATGCCAGCCAGAACTTTATTAAGTCAACAGAATACTTCATCAGCTTTGAGTTGCTGTGCAGTGGGATTCAACATAGACATTCCACTTGTCTGGATTTTCCATTCTGAGACTCACGTAAGTTAGAAAAATAGGTAAGTTCTATCATTTTATTATTTCCTTTATTTATGCTTTTATCTATAGCCCTTTTTTAAAAAATAAGAGGATTCATGGCTGTAGGACTGGGGTAGAACTTACAGAAAATCTTAGGGGAAGGAGTTATAAAGTCTATAATTTAAAAAACTTCCATGTAGTTGGCATAGTACTTCATCCATGGCAATTTGTTTGAGCAGCCCTGCTCTCCAGCATGTGTTGCAGAATGGTCATCTAGTGCTGCGCAGAAAAGGCCCAGCTTCTGCTAGCCACTGTCCTCCGCCAATCAAGCCTTGCAAATTAGCCTATTGGATGTTAAATATGGGTTTCTGCTGGCAAAAATAGTGTCTGTGTATTTATTAAGAGGGTAAATGTTAGAAATGTTAGAAACTGTTAGAAACAGTGAAAATAATATTCTCTCTCTCTCTCTCTCTTTATGTATATATAGTTTGGCACAATAGCACCCCTTTTTTATTATGAAATCTTTTATTATGAAATCACAAGCATGTAATTCTGTAACACAACAATATTATATTCAAGCACACCATATGACATTTTAGGTGAAATATTCAAATTAAAACTATAAATTTTTACACCTATATTAATACCCTACTAACCACACTCAAGCCGACATTATTTCTTCCAGACCTTGTATATAGGAAAAATTAGTTAGGGACACTATAAATCAGCTCACAGTTGTTGGTACAGTAGGCTATCCCCTGTGATCCCTGCCTTTGTCTAATCTCTTACCCTAAGGATGGGCTAGATTGAGTGACTTGATTATAATGAATAGAATATGGCAGAAGTAGTGGGATATCACTTCTAGACTTAGGTTTAGAAAGACTGTTGCTACTGTGCGTGTGTGATAATCTCCCCCCACCCCCGGTCTCTGTCTCTTGGACTGCTCACCCGGAGGAAAGCCAGTGCCAAGCTGGGGGGCAGCCCCGCTGAGAGGCCCATGTGCAGAGGAACTGAGACTTGCCAACAAGCATGTGAGTGATCTGCCGAGAGACCCATGTGAGTGGGAATAAGGCCACCAAGAACCATGTGAGTGATCTTGCAAGCAGAATCACCCAGCAAAACAGACCCAGATTCCTAACCCACAGAAACTCTGAGATCAGAATGTTTACTGGTCTGGGTTTCTAAATCTTGGGGTGATTTGCCTTCCAACAAGACATAATAAAGCCCTGGCTGGTGTGGCTCAGTGGATTGAGTGACAGCCTGCGAACCAAAGGGTTGCAGGTTTGATTCCCAGTCAGGACACATGCCTGGGTTGCGGGCCAGCTCAGGTCCCCAGTACAAGGCGCACAAGATATAACCACACATTGATGTTTCTCTCCCTCTCTTTCTCCCCCCCAATCCCCTCTATCTAAAATAAATAAACAAAATCTTTATAAACATTGTTAAAAAACACAATTAATAAAGATGGGCATGCAAAGCACAAAGCTGAGAGAAACTGCTTGGTGTCTGGTATATTTTTGGTAGTAACAGAGCTAACACTTAGAGTGCCTGTGACAAGCTAGGCAGTGTTCTATGTATTTGCATCTCTCAATTCATTTAGTCCTCACTTGGATACTGTTTTCATGGTCACTTTATATATAAGAAAATTGCCTCAAAAAGATTATGTTAGTTGTCTTAGAGGTAGAGTTTAGAGGAGAACCTAGGCAATCTAGATTATGAATTCATGCTCTTAACCTCTGTGCTCCATTATTGCACCTTATATGGTTAATTGTAGTGGGAAAAGTGAATAAAATTCAGTCAGAAGGCCCTTATAGGTGGCAATAGAGGGGTGAATGAACAAAGAAGGAAGGTTGGAAATACTCACTAAAGGCTAAATCTGAATTTATTAAGCATGAAGCATTAATATTATCTACATGAAAGAAATTACCCATCCCTCTCCCACTAACAGCAACTAGCAAACTATAAGGAAACCCATCTGTTTGGGGCATTTTTCAGGGAAGGCAGAAAGCCCAACTAATAGATATAATAGATATGGTCATCACTGGTTATTTTTTATACTCTCTGTTTGCTCAGATAAGTTAACATTTCTGTCCTACCTAATTTGCTCAAGAAATGAAGTCATCAACAGAGCAACCCATTTAGCCTTCCTCAAAGATAAAACTAAATGTATTATTGTGTCCCTTCACAAATAATGAAAATCATAGGCTCTTTTGATTTCTCTTTCTTCCTTGTCACAGTGACCTCTGCGCACTTGGGTCTGGCGTTTAGAATAGTGTGGAGGGAGCAGGCGCCTGGGGGTCTCTGCAGAGCCTCAGATACACTTCACACTGGCCCCGCCCCTGCAGAGGGCATTAGGAAATCCCTGATGTCTGTACTGGGAACACTGTCTGATCTGATTGATAAAAACAATAAATCCCCAGCACCCCGTGGTTGTTGCTGATAAAAGTGTTTCTTTAAGTGACAGGAAATTAATCTAGCTGAGTTGTCCCAGGAGATATTGTAGGCCCTGGATAAGCACATGCTGGTAAAAGTTTTCATAAAGATACACATACTGATGTCTCCCTCTTATGACATACAATGTGCTGCTATGTGTCACAATGGTCAGGATTAGTTTGCCTTTGAAACAGTTTCACACGTGGCTGCCGATTTGCAGTAGAAGTTCTTGTCTGACAAACTTCCTGTCTCCCATAATATGGCAAAGCTAAGTCTGTTGATCTGGGTGTAGAGAGAATGCCTAGATTTTACATAGAGTATTTGATTTATTATTCAACTCCCTGTGCTGGTCACTTTGTGAGTAGTTTTATAGGGCAAAAGTCCTGGTGAATAAGGGATTCCATTGTGTATATCATAAAAACAAGAAAGTGAATGCAATATTTATATAACACAACCTTAACACTTAATTCTGATCTGCCAAGAAGAAATAATAAAAACATATTTGTGTTGCAAAATAAATAGGGCTCTAATTCATAGTATTTATGATTGCGCATTTGGGATGAATGAAATACCCCCTCTTCCATTTAAAAAGTACTCATATGTGTTCTATTTGTTATGCTAGTGTGTAATATGAAAACATGAACCACTCAAAGTTTTTTGTTTTTCTTTTCAAAAGGTACACCAAAGGCAGATATGTATACAGAGCACCTCACTCAAATAGCTCAGTTGCTAGATGTTATATGAGACTTCCTCTTAAAGAAAAAGCATAAACTTGGCCTTCAGTAGTGATGGAAACTACTACCACAGCCAGTCACTGCCATGGCCGTATCCTTTATCTTGTCATTACCAGTTGCTGCAGCCCCATCATATCTCAAATTCTGGATTCCTTGCTGACGTCCATCTTCTATTCCATCTTCACTATTTTTTTTTTTAAATTTTTTAAAGGTAGATAGGGGTAAGTGAGGGAGAAAGAGAGCAAGAGAAACATCAATGCGTGATTGCCTCT